TTCTGTAACCTTTTGTTCGTATATTTTTTAAAAACTTTTTTTGTCATTGAACCTAGTATCAATTTTGAAACAGAGCAATATGAGAAGACAAACTCGTTCGATGAGTTCATCACCTTATTCAAAGTCGGTTTCAATTGAGACATCGAGCAACATGAGAAGAGAAACTAGGTCGATGAGTTTATCTCCTCATTCAACCACGGTTTTAGTTGACAAATCGATTGATGAACAAAATATGCGAAGACAAAATCCTTCCGACAGTGTTAAAGTGTTAGAATCTCGAAAGGATATTGTTGGAAAATCTGAGAAAAAGAAGAGCAAGAGGGTTATAATAGATGTCGATCAAGGTAAGAGAAAACGTGTCGTGGAGGACGAAGTGAATTTGGGTGTCAAACTAAAAAAATAAGGTTTAGAAGGCAGAAAAAGTTAAAATTTCTGACAAAGTTTGTAAGGTATATACAATTTCAGTTATACTTTTTTCTATTGTTGACTCTTCTTTTAAAATTTGGATTTAGTTTGTATTTTTTTGTTTTTAATTCGTGTCATGTATTTGTAGCCTTGGAAGCTCTATATTCCAGTTGGTGAGTCGTTTCATGTTACTCATTGGTCATCATACACTAATGTGGACATTGTATCGGTTTTACAGTCAAAGTTGACTGATGTCCAGCTTCGGATGTTTAGGGAAAGCTGTTTTGGCTATTTCCTTGATTTACCTCGAGTTGCTATCCAGGCACAACTTATTCGTTCTTTAATGTTTAGGGAGTTGGTTCAAGATAAGTGTGATCAATTTTATGTGAAATTGAATGACGAATGTGTTTTACGTTTTGGTCTTCGAGAATTTGGTATTTTAAGTGGTTTAAACTGTTATGGTAATGAATATGTTTGAGGGTAAATTCAGTGGACCCAATAGGTTGGTGGATACTTATTTTTCTGTTTTAAAGTGGTGTCAAAGAAGTCACTTATTGATTGTTTTGAGAAGAAGAAATGACAGTCTGATGAAGATGCAGTTAAGATTGCAATTATTTATTTCATAAACACATTTCTAATGTCCACTCATGCTCAGAAGACATTTATAAGTAAACGTGATTTCCATCTTGTCGAAAGTAGTGAGTATGTGTCGTTTCCATGGGGTAAGATTGCGTTTCGAGCTTTAATGAAGTCGGTGAGGGACAGGTTGAGGGGAAAGTCTGAGTTTTATAGGATTGGTGGATTTCCTCTTACACTACAGGTGTGGTTCTATGAATGTTGCACTGTAGTCGATCAAAAGTTTGTTGTTCGCGTTGGATGTCATAGACCACGCATATTGAATTGGGAAATGACAGACAGGCCAACGTGTGAGGACTTCTCTACTGGTTTCTTCAACAACATAGGGAATAAGGTACCATCTTTTATGTCTTGATGGGATATACATTTATAATACACTGTAATTCATTATGATACATCAAACATATAGTTTTTATACATCTTTGATACATCTAGGACTGAATCACTTTTGGTTACCTTTGTAGTTTAAAAATATCTCTCCTACAATTGAAGAGCTAAGGAGATTTACTTTGCCTATTGAAGTTACCGATGAGTATCAGAAATATTTGACATCACGTAACAGGGGAAAACTTCCTATTGATGATAGCGATGATTTTGTTATGCCACCCCCGAAACACATTAAGGAGCCTGTCCCACCAAAAAAGGCACCAAAAAATGCGCCAGGTGTCCAACCTGTTGATTATGACCGTGAGTTGCAGAAGTTGAAAGTTGATGTGAAGCAAGTATGTATTGATCTTTTTTATATATTTTTTTGAAAGTATTGTTCAAATTGTATATTTAAAGTCTATTATCTTTCTTATTTGTTTCATCTTGTAGCTCCATAAGCAGTTAAATTCCTTCATGGATTATGTTTCTGATAAATTCAATGAGCTCTTTGAGTTGATAAATTCCAAGGTATGTGCTTCTTTTCCGTTGTGCATTTTTTTTTTATTTTTTAGTTAACTTTCTATATCCTTTTTTTAAAAATAGTTTGGTGCAAGCGAAGTCAAATATGGTGCATATCCAGAGGAAGACACCAGTGGTCGTCAAGACAATAATGATTTTGTGAGCAATATGGAATTTGGTGGCAATGAAAATGTTGAAATGGATGGTTGTCAGGTGTGTTTAGTTGTGCATTCTGCATTTTCCCCTTTTCTTTTATTTGTTGTTTTTGATAATTCGTTTCTTTTTAAAAAAATAGGTCAGTGGAAGTGAAGGCAAAGATGTTCCACATTCTCAAAGAGATACTAGTGTAGCAGATCAGTTAGGTGTCAATGCTTTGGAAGGACCTTCTAGTGTGAAAGTTGACATGTTTGTTGTTAAAGTAACTTTCACACCAGATGTAGCACATGCTGGCATTATTGGTGAGATTACAGATGCGGCGGCAGGGGAGACGGAGGAAGAATTTGAGAAACAAAAGGTTCCTGAATCCCGGATTGGTGCTGTTTGTGCGAATGTAAGTGCTGATGCGGCGGCAGGGGAGACGGAGGAAGAATATGAGAAACAAAAGGTTCCTGAATCCCGGACTGGTGTTGTTTGTGCGCCTGCAAGTGTTGATGTGGCGGCAGGGGAGACAGAGGAAGAATCTAAGAAATAAAAGGTTCCTGAATCTCGTACTAGTGCTGTTTGTGCGACTGCAAATGCTGATGAGGCGGCAGGGGAGATGGTTCTGTACAATCCTGAATTACTTCCTGAAGTATCGTCACAAATGGGAAAAAAAGAGATGTCTTGCAAAGGCCGTGCAGTCTCCGTTCATTACTGTATTTGATTCAGGTTCCAGTACTGGTGTTGGTACAACGAAAGGAAAAAAGAAAATTTATGCTATTAAGCATCCTTTTCAAAGCAAAATCGGAACTGGCGTTAACAGCTCTTTGTTGAATGTATTTGCTGCGTGGGTCAAAGAAGGGAAGTCCAGAAAGAAGTATGTTTCCAACTTCTGAGTTTTTTTCAGTTTTATATTTTAATATATTGTCACTTATAGCATTATTTTATATCAAATCACTATACTCTTTTGTATGTATATGTTACCAGGAATGAAATTTACCCGAAGCATGTTAGTGAACTCAATCCTGCTTATGATCTTGGTGTATTTCATGTTGAAGACAAAAAATGGTTTTATACTTTGGCATATAATGGTCAGCCCTTGGATGACTCGGTATGTAAGAATTAACTTTTGCAGTATTTTTTTTAAAATTTTAGCTAGTGTACACATGAACACTCAGTCCTCTTAAGTTAGAACAGATTATTAATTGCTATTTCCTGGCACAAGAGATAGCAGTGAGCATTCATTTTCCTTTGTTTTCTGTGATTTTGGTTTGAAAAACTGTAGCTGCTTAAAGCTTATGAGCCTTTAGTGATTTGTTATTTGTTATGTTTTGTTTCAGCACATTGATGTTTTGTTCTATTATCTGAGGAAGAAGGGGAAGTATGACAAAGACCTACTTGTAACATTCACCACCACAGATTGGTACTTCGACGAGAAAATTAATGAGTTGTGGCAGGCGTTTATTGATAAAGATGGAGATAGTGATGTGTGCACTCCGAAACATGTCATTGCAGAGTATATTCAGGGGTTTGTCTTGGATGCCAATGTTCCATGGCACACTGTCGAGCATGTCTTAATGCCAATTAAAGTTGCAGAACAATGGCATTGGATAATAGTTGTGATGTCCTTCAAGGATAAGTGTATTTATGTGTATGACTCTATGCGCGGTGGAGCTGCTCATCAAGCCAAATTTCATAAGACCATGGCCAAGTATTCTGTGTTGATGCCTTATTTTTTCGTGCACACGCATTTCTATTTAAACAAAAAAGATATCAATTGGTGCACTGGTGTCTACAAATCAAAAGACTTGATTACCCCCTTTGATGTAAAACTGGTCGAAGGATTGCCTCAACAAGTCGAAGCGTATGAATTTCTTTCAACACAATCTGTCTTGTTTTTAGATTCTGCAGTTTGATAGTTGTTGTTCTTTTTATTTTTGCAGTGATTGCAGTGTATTTGCGGCATCATTTGCCGAGTATTTCATTGAGGGCAAGACGCCTCCTAAAAAATTCAATGCCTATGGACACCGGCGCAGATTTGATGCTCTCTTGTGGGATTATGCTAGAAAGAAGATGGAACTGAACGCGCAAAGTGATGATGAGATTATTGGTCGACAGAATAAGTCACGGAAGCAGAAGTAGTTACTTTTGTCATTGTTGTTGGATGAACTCTATAATTTTGTTTTTGTATTGTGTTCTGTTATGTTGTCACTGTTGTGAGACGGATCAGATTTGTTTGTGTTTGAATTTTATGAATACTTTTAAGAATTGTATGGCAAATGAGATGTTTGCTCTGTTATAAAGGTTTAATGAGTTTCAGTGCGATATTGGATTGTTGCAGTTTAGTTTATTTTGGTGTTTCTCCCTTGATTTTGTGTTGTGAATTATAGATATGAAAAATATACGGTAGTTTGTGATACATTGTCTCTTGCAGATACATGCATGATACATACATGATACAAACATGATACACATATGATACAGATATGATACACATATGATACACAGTTTTCAAATATGTATTGATGAAGCCACTCTTATTTGCAAATTTCTAAAACTATTTGCATAGTTTTCTAGCTGCTACGACTGTTTTTCATTAGTTAGCTTTGTTACTACACAAATACAGGCATGAGTAAGAGCCTATACATAGAGATACATAGGTGATACACAAGCGATACATAGATGATACAAATGAGATGCACAAGCGATACATATATGATACAAATATGATACATAGCTGATACAACTTCTTTTTAATCAAACAGATGTATAATATAAACTTGCAACACGATTTTAAATGATAGGTCAAATATTTATTTATATCTAAAATTCAAATGACATTCTACAATGATATAGTTCTTGATATATTGCATTCCTCTAAATCTCTATGATATTCAATAAAGTGAAATAACAAGTAATTCTAAATTTGACATATTTCATCCTCTCTTTGGATTATTTCTACAAGTTTTCCTGTTGTGACCTTCTTCTCCACACTGTCCACATGAAATCGACCTTTTTCGTTCCCTTTCAGATATTGGCTTGCACCTCCCCTTCCTTGGCCTTCCAATTGTTTTAGTCACATCTGGTGGCAAGACTTTTTCATTTAGAACTTCTGCAGGAATTTCCCATGTGCTTTCATCAAGAATTGGATAAATTGGAATTTCATAGGTCTTCAATAGGTACTTCGTGGTGTAGTACATCGAGCAATACTCAATGTGATCAATGTATTTGTATTTTAATACTGCCCAAGCATGTGCACATGGTAGTTCATCCAACTGAAACCTTCTACAACTACAAGTTCGATCTTTTAGGAACATCATTCTCTGCTTACCCTTGTCAAGTACTGAATATAAGTAACTCGTCGAAGGGGTCACCTACAAAATTTATCAACTATCATTAGTGGTGACAAAGCAGATGCCCTCAAAATATATATACTAGAGAGCCTGCAAGATTCAAAATAGCTTAATATCATGTCAAACCAACAAATATTTCAGGAGTGGGATAAGCATAAATGCTACATTAAATTGAAAGCTTTTGCTTTTGTGTAGGTTGACACTAGTTTAACAGAATCATACAATGGGTTCAAGATATAACAGATCCGTGAATTCGGCATGATTACATATTCTATGCGCAAGTATCTACAGATTCCAGTCATACATTCATCTGATATGACAATTCAAGATTGTCCATCAGCATTGTATCATATTTTTTCCCAAGATCAGTGAATGACTCTACTGCATTCTTTAGGTTTGTAACATTCCATCATCCAATCAATTTCCTTATGTAGTCTAGCAAAGGCAGTACTGGGTGTTCCCTAGCAGCCTTGAGAGCTGCATTGATCGACTCCGCAATGTTTGAAGTCATCGCCAATGTTCTGTTGACAGTGAAATATGCTCTGGGCCATCTTTCATAGCCAACATTCATTAAGTAATCTTTGAGCCTCTTATCAATTTTCTCTACCTCTGCTATGTGGTAATCAAACTTCTCAACTGTGTATGCTTTGGCCATAGCAAAGAATATGTCTTTGAGCAGCAAATGGTTTTTTTTGGAATTTTTTTTACATTATTCCATAGATGCCATATGCAGACACAATGAGGTACTTGTGGATACAATGTTGCCGCTGCATTTTCAATGCCTTCATGCCTGTCCAAAACTATGCACATTCCCTCCCTTTCCCCAAATGCATCCTTGAATCTCGCAAAAAACCACTCCCATGAAGCATTATTCTTTGAATCTACTATGGCATATGCGAGTGGTAGGATATTACCTGTTGGATCTTGTGTTGATGCTATCAATAATGTTCATCTATAAGCCGATTTAAAAAAGGTTCCATCTACAACAACAACCGGTTTGCAATACTGTCATCCTTTTATAGACAGATATAGTGAAACGAAAGCATACATGAACAAGTCTTCCTCTGTTTTTTTCAAACTTACCCACCGACATAGGACTTGTAAGAACTAGCATATAAAAGTAGCTTGGCAGCTTTTCATATGATTCGCTCGTGCTCCCTCTCAGTACTTGAACTGCATATTCTTTCGATCTCCATGCTTAAATATATGTCATCTGAAGACTATACTGCTTGTTCATGTCTCAAATTATGTCATTAGGAGTGTATATTGTTTTTGGGTCTTTATACTTGTCTATCAGAAGACTGCCGATGAGTTTTGCAGTAGTTTGACGTTGTGCGTAAGATCTGTCTTTCAGAGGGCATGAGTGCACTTTGCTGAAATTTCTGACCTTGAAAACGTTTGCTTTTCTCAGACTCGAAGACTTAAAATACCAATCACAGTTGTTGTTGATGCATACTAGGTAGTACCTACGACAAGGATATAAACTTTTCCATCAATAAATAGAGCGACATGAAATACAATGATATATAGTGATACACACTGCCATCAACAATACTAGATGAAAAAATACAACGACTATACAGTACTAGACGGTGACAACCATAACTTAAAAGTGTACAACTACATACTTACAAGCAACAACTTATTTTCTGCATAGTTATGCTCCTAACATCAACTACGATATACATTGAGATACATAATTATATAATAAATATTTTGATCCCTGCTTTCACTTGATCTATGCACCTTAAACTGAAAATTTTCCTTTACTGCCAAGTGCCTCATGACTTTGATTATCGTTGCCTTGTCTTTATAAATTTGACCTTTTTCTACATCTATTGTTGGGGGTCAGTTATTATTGTATTTTCATCAGATTCTATATCATTCCAGTCATCTCCATCCCCAAACTCGATCATCTTAATTATATCGCCATTGTATCTCTCCTCTACAACTGAGCTTTGTGCACATTCTGAGGAAATCACAGCAGAATTGGAATTGTTGCAGATCATGTCCATATCCTTTTCACTCGATGTTATTCAAAGGGGATACATTGTAAATTCTGAGCTTTTTTCCAGCTCAAGATATACACATACACCCATACTATTATGTATCACTATTGGCGGAGAACTGTTTTGGACAATGTATTTGATTTCAATATCATTCAATGAAGTATCTATCATAAGTTGTTTCGAAATCACGTCTACAAAATCTTCAAAACTTATATTTGGAGTAACTATTACAGCATCTGGATTATAATCTACAAAGCTGTTGTCAACATTCCATCGGCCACCATACTGAATGAAAATTGGTAAATTTGCCATTGAAGTAGCTGAAATTAGGTCAAAACTCACTAATTCCTTGATTGATTTTGATTGCATTTCGTAGTTCCTTCTACACAGAAATTACAAAAGTTATATCTACACAGAAATTGCGAAGGTATAGAGTGAAATTGATCGATTTTGAGTGAAATTTGGAGCTCCTTTTGAGAATTTTTTGAGAGAGAATGCCGTGATTTACAGAGGTAGAGAATGTCGTGATCTGTTAAATTGATACGCTTGAAAAAACAGGGAAGGAAGGAAGGAAGATCTTTAGCGTGATTCTCGGATAGAAGAATCCTTCCTTACGTGTATCTCTAATTTTGGGCTACTTTTGGTAAGTGTCTAATTTTAGGCTAGAGGTTGATAAGTTTGTATTTAAATTGGCTATTTCTGTACTTTTCCCTTCTATCTATCTCGGAAAATTTGCTTAGATTAGTAGGGGCCCAATGCAGATGTGGAACAGCAAATGAGAAACCAAATCGTAAAATTTCTTCATATAGCCACTAAACTTAGATTAAACGGAGAAGTTGAGGTCTTGTGAGAGATTAAGTTGTCTCATCATTTTATTATATACCCTAAACTCGTAATGTAACGATGCAACGTAGCTCAAATAGTGAAATTCAGGTCCATGACGAAAAAGTCTAAATGCAGGAAGTGTTGTTTCCTTTTTCTTTTCTTTTGGCTTTTAGTGCTAAATACATAAACTTGCTTCATGAATCGTAATCTATTGAGTATTGCCTCAATCTCATAGGTTTCATCTATATCAATATCGTTTTACTTGGACCAATTCATCTCCTGTGCTTCAATATCAAAACTTACTCATGATAATAATAGACAGATCTAAAATTTGAACATTGTAGTTTCAGTTTCGAATTCTATCCCATCAAATTTAATTATTGGGTTCGAAATCTATTGTTTGCATTTATTTAGTGAATCCAAAATTGCTGGGTTCGAATGAAACCTTGAATTATGGGGGGAAACCAGAAATAGCCTAATTTACAAATGGTAATTGAAAAATAGCCACAGTTTTAAAAGTAACCGAAATTTAGCTATTTTTTTATGTAAAGATAAAATCCAAATCCGAAAATATTCCAGCATAATATGTTGGAGTTCAAATTTTTTACATACGAGATTCCAGCATAATGTGCTTGAGTTCTAACATAATATGCTGGAAGTTTATATGCAGGAGCTCCAAAATCCAGAATATTATGCTGGAACTTTCTGTATTTCAGCTAAAATAGTGGCTATTTTTTAATGACTTTGCAAACATTAGCTATTTTTCAATTACCAGTCCGAAAACTGGCTAGGCCATGCTATTTTCACTGAATTACGATCTACATTTGGCGCTGATGATAGGAAACCGAAGTAGTAAAAACCATACACTCACTGAAATATATACTGCAACTCGATATATATATATATGAACAGTTAACAAAGTAGTTGAAACCATACACTCACTGAACATTATAACTTCTTTTACATAAAGGTGAAGGAATCACATAAATTCCTTTGCCATGTAATAGATCTATTTTGCGTGATCTTTTTATTCACGCAAAATGTACTCCACTTCATAAAAAACATTAACCTGAAAACAGTCCGACCAATAAAGTTATCCTACAAAATATTACAACAAATTGCCTCTGCTCTCAAGTACTTCCACTTTGGATAACTGGACCCATTATAACCCAAAAGAATCGCATTTCCAGCAGCAGATAGTTACATTAAATCCAATATTGGGTACAAATTACAATACCTAAGGAATAAAAAAACCACAAAATCTAGTAACAATAACTTACTAGAGTTAGTGGATGAGGGGGGTGGCTGTCTGTGAGAAATCACAGTTCAAAGGATTCAAAGGACTCTTGTCTGAATTTTGGTAAAGAAGATTCATAGCATATGCGGCATGGAATGCCACAGTATTTGACTCAAAACAAGCACCCCCAGGTTGAATTGCACTGCATAGTCGGCATTTGATTGCAACTGGGCATCTGATACATCTGCCTTGGATACACTTTTTGTCTTAGGCGACGAGGAAGGTACCGGAGTTTTTGGCAATGAGGAAGTTGCCGGAGTTTCTGGCGATGAGGGAGGCATTGAAGTTTTTGGCAATGAGGGAGTCACCGGAGTTTCTGGCAATGAGGGAGTCACTGGAGTTTTTGGAGACGAAGGAGGCATCGAAGTGTTTGAGGGAGTTACTGGAGTTTTTGGCATTGGATCCTTCAAAGACAAAAACTCCTCTTAGACCTTAATAATCACAAAAATCAAGAAACTACAATAACAACAACTACGCCTCAAGTCCAAACAAGTTGCAATCAGCTATATGAATCTTCGTTGTTCCATTTCGCTCCATTTGAGCTCGTCTCAATCCAATATTTTACAAAATAGTAAAAATTAAAAAGAGCTAGAAGTCCTCCATATTTTCTACTAGCATATAAATCTTTGACATCACCAAAAGACTCCTGCAAAATACTGGACCTAAAACTTAATCCAAACTAATTGGTGTCATGTATAGGTCTTTTCATTTCATTGCGCCCTATTGTTGCTAGGTCTGCATGGTTTCCAAGAGATTACACCTATAGATCGATACAAATTTTACAAGAAACCTATATTGAAAAATGATATAATGTAGTTTTTGTAGTGACTTTCTTACCTGGCTGTTAGCCTTAGAAAGTCCAGCATCATAAGTCATTGTTAAATCAGGCTTGAAAAGTCCAAAGGACCTTTCAGAAGTTGGTCCTGGTTTCAAATTCTCATCATACAAAGCAAAGAGATAGGTATCCACTGATATGCCAGGCATCAATGGAGTTCCAACCATTGACCTCAGGTGAGAAATCAAATTGCCATTGTATGCCTTTGCATTCTCAATACTTGGCCCAACCTCATTGCTGTCTCCCTTATAAGGCCATCCTGTTTCAGCAATTACAATCTCTACCTCCTTGAATCCCAGGGCATTAAGCGCTGATCTTACAGCATCCACCTGCATACAGCCAAATTAATTAGGTTCTTGATTCTCAAACATGGCCACAAATACCACTTTCATATCAAGGTGAATGACATGATTCGAATTACAAGAGTTGTATTGCTTAGTTTTTGAAGTTTTTTAAAGATTTCTACTCACAATACGCCAACTTCTGATATATATGTCCAAACATAATTTCAACTTTCAAAAACTATTTTTCATCTCATTCTCAAAATTTCTATTTTTCAAGTTTCAACCAAATCTATGTCCAAAAACGCTAGCTAAACTTGTTTATAGACTAAATCATACACTTATTCTCACATTACCAAGTTACTAACTCGAAAAAAGAAAAGAAAAGAAACGAAAAAAACAAGTAAATATCCCATCTAATGCAAGTGTAATGACAAGAAGTAAACTTTAACATCATTTAGTCGGCATCATTTATAAAAATCATTTGCTTTTATTATGTTCTGTTCTTAGCTAAAGTTCACATAAATTCCAAAAACTTGGAAGTCTTTCTTTTAGAAAACGTCCCCGTTCATCTCAATCTTTTTAATAAAAAAATAAATCAGTCATTGTAGTGTCGCGCGATCACGTTATATTGACTTACAACAACACATAACTTTGCATATTACCTTGGAAACCATGTAATAAATCGATATAACCCGTTTAAAACACTGTCAGTATATACAACCTAAACTCATACATATAAAATGGACAAGAGTAAGAAAAAAGGTAACCTGAGCGTCGAACATGCTGGTGTACTTAATATTGGTACCAGCATCAAATCGTCCAGAATTAGGTTGAAACAAACAAAAAGCCAAGGTATCAGGTCTAGGATCACTCTGATAAGCGAAATAAGGATAAGGATTAACTGCAAAAGGAGAACCAGTAGCTTTATTGAACTCCAATAATCCTTTCAACAAATCAGTAATACTCGGGTCGAAACTTCCAGAAGATGGCGGCTCCGATTGCTTCAACACAGCCATAGCATGGACCGTAGATACCTTAATTTTACCTCCAATTGAAGCATCATTGAGGGCATTTTGGAGATTTTGCATCGCTGGCAACAAATTTGTCATCAGATTTTGATCCTTTGATAACATAACCTCATTTCCGACGTTGATGACTATGATTTTACTGGCTGGATAAAATGGAAGTACTTTTGAACTAAGCCATCCTTTGGCGAAGTTCGGGTCGGAGGCCATAGGCGGAATATCGCCGTTGGCTACTCCGATCATGATTCCGACGCCGGTATTTGCTAACGCTTTGATGATTACCGGGTCGGATCCGTATAACCGGACTTTCTCAATTGAAGTGGATTGTAATAGCTTTGCTGTTGCCTCCGGTGCCGGGAGATTATCCGCAATTTGGCCATAATTTATACCGATAAATGACTCTGATTCTGCAATATTAGCAATATAATTAGTAAACAAACTTGGAAAGGAAAAAAAAAATAGTATATAATTTTGCTCAGTAACAAGCCAGGAATTTTTGAACATTAGCATATTAGCATATGAGTAATTCTAATAAGAGGATTTGAAAAAAAAATGCAAAAATCTCAACACCAATTTTTTTTGCATGTGATAAGCAATTTTTGAACTCCTTTGCACAAACTAAATTATTTTCTTATGTTGAACGAATTTAACAATTTATATATTAGCGAAAAATGCTCTATTTGAGCAATATAATTTTTCGATGCACGTACCAACGAGATAAATTATTTAGTATTGAAATAGTACGAACTTGAGTAGCACGAAATGAACATAAAAGAATCATATAGCTAACTCTAACTTATTTGGGATCGAGATATAATCAGTTTGTGAATAGAACGAAGTGAATAAAAATGCATATTTTAAGGAGTTAAAAAAAGCTTACCTGCGAATAGGGCGAGATGAAAAAAGCAGAGAAAGAAGAAGGAAGAAGTCTGAAGTAGATTAGCCATGGCAGAAAGAGGCTTATTGTATATATTCTATGCTTTTGGAGGGAGATAATGATTTGTATATAAAGAGGGAAAGTGTAAAATTCTACCGTTCAAGTTTTGAAATTCTATACCACGGCTGATTGCACGTGAGTTGCAGACATTTATAGAGGAAACGGTTCAAGTTCAATTATTGAGTTAGAAATTCCGTGGGAATTAATCAATATTTTAAAAAGGTGAAAATAGTCAAGATTTTAAAATCAATGGATGCCAGTATGAGATTTGCATAAAGGCCAGATTCAATGTTTACTTTCCTAATCAGTATACATAAATTATATACTATTAATTAGACACAGTTAATTATATTTATATTATACATGAATTATATATATATATTATATATTTGACTTTAATTTTTTCTTTAAGAGATTAGGTGGATAACTATTTGCGTGAATTCTTTATTATTTTTTATGCTTGCACAAAACACATTAGTTTACAGCTCGTTGATACTTTTTGAAATTCCTCCTTTTAAATACTACTGTAAAAAATAAATGTGATTACTTTTCAAATCACTCTAAAAGCAAAAGATTTACTAGGTTTTAATCAATTATCACTACAAAGTGTAAATAATAATCATGCTCATCAATCATCACTCATCAGTCTCATTCTGGAGCGAACACTTTCTGTAATTACCTTCTGCCTTAATCCTCAATCTCCACACCCTCCTATTAAAGGTCATGTCCTCGATCAGCTCAAGTTGCACCATGTCCCACCTGATCACTTGCTAGTTTCCTGAAGTACACTAGCATCTGTCTATCTATGTCATAGTTGCCCGTTCCCGCCGCGCTCACGGCCCGGCTGGCCTACTGTTATCCGCGGCGTACCTTTGATCCGTTGAGCGAGAGCCTAGTCTGAAAATAATCTAGAGAAACCCTCTTATATCAAAATTATTTTTATAAATAAATAATCCAACCTCGTAAAAATTTTGGTGTTTACACTAACTCAAAAAACATATATTTTGTGGTTTTACATATATTATTACTTGCTTAACTATGGAGTTAGTTAATGTGTATTTTCACGCCAATTCTATTATTAATTATGTAAGCTAGTTAGGGGTCGTCTGGTTAGAAAATAAGTTATTCTGTAATTAATTATCTCCAGATTAATTATCCCAATCTCCCATAAGAATAAAAAAACACTACAATTTCGAGATAATTATGAACAATTTTATAAAATAGTGAACTCCGAACAAAGAAGGAGTTAATTAATTATCTCTTATTCCTCGTACCAGACGAGCCCTTTCAGTTTTTGGTCAGCCTCGAAGGTCAAAAGGAGATTATTATACTATGATCTTTAGGTTTCTCAAAAATCTAAGTGCTTTGAATAGCTTATCCTTCTATGCTAAGGAATCGCTTTTGCATATTTGGAACTGTGACAACATGTCCCTACACTCCCTTGTATTATTTCCTAAACGCTTTTTGAACTCGATTTAGTTATCCTCAAATTTTGTATATTGATTTATTTATATGTTTTCAATGAATTTCAACTATACTCATTGAAAAAGTTTCTTTTTTGCTTAGATTTTTTGAATATTGTATATTTTTTTATATTTCATCACCTTATTTGCTATCTAATCCATGAAATTCCTTTCCGTCTTGCATCTAATGTTGTTAATCACGCTTAAAAGTATGGAAGGAGATTTTTGCATGTGATTCTTTAAAAGAAAGAACCTTATGTATTTGATTTTTCAATTTTTATATGTGCTAGTTTTGGTTAGTAAAAGATAAAGAGAAACTTTAGTATGAGTGTTTGTGGACAGCAGACACCCTACCCAAAATAATAAAGTGAACTTCCACTTTAGGAATTAGGACAAATACATAAAGCAAAACCAACTTTAGGAAGGAGAGGATGGTATAATTTGTTGACAAGTAATCTCCTCGCAATAAGAGAAAGTAAAAGTTCAAAGATTCAAACATTTCATTGCTAAGTTTTCTAAGTTTTAAACATGGTAAACATTTTATTCTTTTCTTTTAGTGCAACCGAGTTAAGTTGGACCTTTCAGGCTTGTCTCTATATTTACCTTAACTATGTAGAGAATGATAGAGAAAGAAAAGTGAAAGTTGATTTAAAGTGAATATGTACATAATTTATTTATATTAGTGTATGTTAGTCAATCTGTATTACTATAATAAATAACAAAACAGTAAACTTTCTGAAACCGAAAGTTAGCAACAACATAATGTCAAAATAATATCTGAAAAAATAATTCCGGAATAAATCGAGCCAACTGAATGCACAACGTGTCCTTAGGGAAATTATTCCCCTCAAGTATTCGAGGTGCTGGAATATTATCTTCCTAGGATAGAAAGATTTAACTCACCGATGTATTGGTACCAAAAACTACGGTGTCAGTGAACTACTCAATGATAGTAAATCACACTGGAATAGATTTGTGCAGAAGAAGAAGAAGTCTTGAAGTTCAGAAAATTCGTAAGGAAAAATATGAGGAATCAAACGAATTTATAGCCAATGGAAGTACTGTTTCTGAAAGTTTACAATCTTTCAGAACAATCACTAAAAAATGGGAGGAAATTTAAATAAAAATTCAGGAAAAAATGAATCGAGTCGCGCACGGATCCGGTTCGAATTGGATATTTGGCTAATTTAATTAATATTTTATTATATAATTAAAAAAATTATCCAAAAAGATTAATCAATCAATTGTTGACCAAATCCAAATCCAAATCTGAAGCCAAGCCGAGCGAGCGATGACGACGACAGCGCGAGGCTTGCCTTCTTCTTAACTCTTTAAGAGCTAGAAGAAGAGCAATTGTATATATACCCATCAAAAGTCTTTTCCTCCTCCAATGTGGGATAATGTCCCTTTATCAAGGTAGGAAATTCAAATATTTTATTTTTCCTCCATTTCCTATTCACTCTTTATTTTAAGCTAACCAAGCTTAAACCCAACAATCCCCACATGAATGGGGAATGGCTATAAGACTAAGGAATGCATGGACGAGTGTGTGATTTACATGCAAGAATTAATTGCATCTGAATAAGTAGGTTTTCCTTTAAACTTTCCGTAGTGAACTTATATCGAATATACTCAGTAAATCGATAGATTTGATATCTTTGAACCGTCGAGCTTTGTTGTATACCTAGACAACATAAGTCATACAATCAACCCTTAACCATCTACGGTTATCACGGTTGTATTCGTTTCAGCCATGAACACTGCCTGGTTTCATGAGTGCTTAGATAATGTGCATTTACTTTCATTCCCCTTGAAGCGGCTTACACTTCACACTCACATATGTGATTTCTAAACGTGTAATCCTATAGACACACTATCTGGTCATATTCTGCCAGACTTAGCAAATCATTAAAAAGCTTTAAGCTTTATTGACTCATCAAAATGCCTTAATGATTTACCTCAATTTCTGAACATTGTCTTCATCACGAGAATGGGTTGAGATTTGACAATGTTGAATCGTCATTCATAACTTTATTTGATCTCTTTGAACCTAGCTCTTGGGATCTCCAGTCTGCTAGGTAGAGTTACTGCCATGATGACTTGTCCTAGGCCTTAACCCCATTTTCTTTGATGATCTTTCAACTGCCTCTCTAGATAGGTCTTTTGTAAGTGGATCTGACACGTTATCTCTTGACTTTACATAGTCAATAGTGATAACATCACTAGAGAGTAGTTGTCTAATGATATTGTGACTCTATCGTATGTGACGAGATTTTTCGTTATACATAACGCTCCTCGCCCTACCTATTGCCGCTTGACTATCACAATGTATACATATAAGTGCCAAAGGTTTGGGCAAAAATAGAATATCTCCCAAGAAATTTCGGAGCCATTCAGCTTCTACACCGGCCTTATCTAAAACTATGGATTCAGATTCCATTGTAGAACGGACGATGCACGTTAGTTTGGATGATTTCCAAGACACTGCTCCACCCCCAATTGTGAAAACATATTCACTCGTGGATTTAACTTCAGATGATTCGGTGATCTAATTTGCATCACTATATCTCTCAATCACGGGGGGATATTTGTTGCAATCAACGCATAATATTGGGTATGTTTCAGATACCCCAAAATTTGTTTTATTGCCATCCAATGTATTTGATTGGGATTACTTATAAACCGACTCAGTTTGCTAATAGCACATGCTATATTTGGTCGCGTACAATTCATGGTATGCATAAAACTTCCCAATACTCTTGCATAGTCTAGTTATGAGTTACTTTCACCTTCATTCTTTTGAAGTGCATAACTCGAGTCAATTAGAGTCTTGGCAGTTTTGAAATCCAAATACTTGAACTTGTCAAGTACTTTTTCAATGTAGTGAGACTGTGATAATGTTAGACCTTGTGGAGTCTTATGAATCCTGATTCCTAAGATCACATCAGCAATTCCTAAGTCTTTCATGTCGAATTTGCTAGCCAACATGCGCTTAGTAGCATTTATATCTGGCATATTTTTGCTCATTATCAACATGTCATCAACATATAAACAATGACTTCATGACCTGGAGTGTTTTTAATGTAAACACATTTATCATACTCGTTAATTTTAAACCCACTTGCCAATATTGTTTGGTCAAATTTAACATGCCATTATTTGGGTGCTTGTTTAAGTCCATAAAGTGACTTAACAAGTTTGCACACATTTTTTCTTTATCCGGAACCACAAAACCTCAGGTTATTCCATGTAAATCTCTTCCTCCAATTCTCTATTTAAAAAAGTTGTTTTAACATCCATTTGATGGATTTCAAGTCCATACACGACCATCAGTGCCACTAACACCCTAATATATGTTATCCTCGTTATTGGCAAGTAAGTGTCAAAGTAATCAAGGCCTTCCTTTTGTCTATAACCTTTGACAACAAGTTTTGCCTTATATATGTCAGTGGTGCCATCATCTTTCATTGTTCGTTTAAAAATCTATTTCGAACCTAAAGGCTTATTTCTTGGAGGAAGATCAATATATTCCCATGTATGGTTATCCAAATTGATTGAATCTCACTATTGACTGCCTCTTTCCAAACTGCTGAATCAAAAGATGCATAGCTGCTTTGAAAGTTTGAGGCTCATTTTCTAGCAAAAATGTCACAAAATCTGGTCCA